TTCATTATATGATAGTTGCATAGGTTAATTTTAATATTTTATGAACATGATATGAATTATTTGTTCAATCTAACTTTTATATAATGTGCTATAAATACATTCTATGCAACAGGTTAAACGTCATAATTATCTTGCACGTTATCATTTGAAGCATTACATTAAAAATGGTGTGCAAATAACTCAGCAACACAATCAACAACGCAACGATATTTGTACTTTTGCAGTAGTTGGTAGACAGCTAGAGTATCAATTGAAGTTCCAATTTCATTGCGTCAAAGAATCTGCTATATAAATCATGAAAAATGGCCCGATGAGCTTATCCAAAGAAATCCTGATCGTAATCCATTTTGTAGATGGAGGCCAAGTGAACTATTGGAAAGTGCTAAAATTTTGGTGTGCCTCTTTATGACCAGGATAGACATAAAATTCAGTATTTTAATAGTCAATACCCTGTGAAACTAGGTTTTTTGAGAGAGTTGCTTTGTCGAGTTTCCTGTTAGCCGTGATTAAAATCACGGAAGATTACCCTATGAATGGTGAGTATGTCTATGAGGGTAAAATGGAAGTGAAAAAGGAGGTTATAGTAGACCAAAAAGGAGTGAATTCAACTGTTGAGGCAACACATGCAGTTGTACTTCTTGATATTTGTGATTATAATGGAGATACATATGTTGTTATCAGAACTCATATGGTGATTCGAGTGTGAGTATGTGCTCTGATAGTATTTCTTGATCGCCGGTTTGAAACGTGTTGGAGATACATTATGGAGAATCTATCCCCCCCCCCAATGCACCCTCCACCTGTTCTACAATCTATGTGCAAAGGAAACAATTTGCAATTGCTTTTAATAAGCTTTCTTCATTATTTCAAGAACTTGAAGTAGCTTATAAAGTGGTAAAGCAATCGTGGGATGAAGTGAGGAACCTTTATTGTAAAGGTCAGGTAGAAAAATCAAAGGAGACACTCAATGATGCTGTGAATTTGTTTAAAGTAGCTGCAAATATTGTGAAGGAGATACGTCCTTTGATTATAAAATATAGGGGTGTGGAAAGTGCTTCCAGTCTCGGTCTTCCCCAATTGAAAAAGATTGCTTCTGATGCTATCGAAAAGATTGCTCTTGTTGAGAAATTGCAGACAAATTGCCATTATCAGATAGAGCATTTCAATGCAAGGAAAAAACCGAGGAAATGATAGTAGATGAGATTTTTGCTATCACGAGGTTGTATATAATTAGTTAACATTATCTTTGTAGCAAGGTTTAAGTTTTAGTTTTGGTCGCACGTATTTTTAACGGCTATTTCACTAATGCCACTGAGTACTTAAAAAATTCACCAAATGCCATCGTGTTTTTCAAAATTCACCAAATGCCACTGAGGTTTAGTACAATATCATCAAATGTCATTTCCGTTAGTGGACCGTTAGTTGACCCCACCACTTGCACGTGTCACCTTCTGATTGGTCCGTTTTTTAAAAAAATTTAAAAATAACAAAAAGTAAAAAAAATAACAAAAAATTAAAAAAAAAACTGAACCTCAAACCCAGCCACCAGCCCAGCCGCCGGCAGTCCCGGAACCCCAGCCACCAGCCTCCACCACCCCGAAACCCCACCCCCCTTCTCTCTCGCCGCCATTTCTCCGCCGATGTCGGCCCCTCTCCCCTTCCCTTCTTCTTCCCAAACGCACAAAAACGCCATTGAAGCTCCGTTGAAGCTCACGCATGAAAGCTTGAGAAACATCATTTTTTCACCAATTTTTTTTAAACTTGTACCAAAATGTTCACAATTCAACATACAATCAATTAGAGCAAACAATTTTGTGAATTGCTTCACCAAACAAAAAATCCCAATTCAATTTGTTTAGGGTTCTTCACAAAAATTGGTGGTGATTGGAGTTGCTGCTGGTCGGCTTTTGAGATGCAGTGGTTGGTGTTGGCAGGTGCTGGTGGGAGTTGGTGTGGTAAGCTCGCTGCGTGGTTGTGAACTAACGGAGAGGGAGAGGAAGGGGGGTGGGGTTTCGGGGTGGTGGAGGAAGGGGGGTGAGGTTTCGCGGGTTACGGGGTCGCGACGGGATAGAGGAGGGGTCGCCGGCAGCCGGCGCACCTTCCGGTGCTAGCCCCGACGGCAGGGGGGTGGTGGTGGCTAGGGTTTTTGGGGTGGCAGGGGGCTCGACGACAGGGAGGAGGTGGTGGTTGGCCACCTCTGAGTTTCTTTTTTTTTTTGTTGTTGTTTTTTTTAAAAAAAATTGTATAGTTAGTTTTAATTTTTTTTTATTTTTCAAATATTTTTGGTTTTTTTTTAATTTTTGTTTAATTATTTTTTTTTAAAAAAACTGACCAATTAGAAGGTGACACGTGGCAAGTGGTGGAGTCAACTAACGGTCTACTAACGGACATTGACGGTCAACTAACGGAAATGACATTTGGTGATATTGTACTAAACCTCAGTGACATTTGGTGAATTTTGAAAAACACGATGACATTTGGTGAATTTTTTAAGTACTGAGTGACATTTGATGAAATAGCCGTATTTCTAATTATTGTATGAGTCTTTTCAAAGGCTTTTTGTATTACATTGTCATTAAAATTGGTAGTCCTTCCAAAAGCATATTTTATGAAAGAGGCCCCGGTACCTCAAATAAAGATACAATTTTTGTATCTCAAATGACATATTCATTATTTTGTGGCTATGAATTCGTGCTTAGTGATTATTTAATTGTTTTATACTTGCTGAGATGATGATTGTGTAACCAAAGTGACTCCGTTTGATGGAGTTAACTCTATAAACATTTAACATCGTTAATGTAACTTTTCTTGGATTTTTTTTTTTTTTCACAGCTCTCGGATCTTGTCTTTTTTTTTTCACACCCATCATTTTTTAATTGCAAAATTTACAAAGTCAATGAAGCTCGAAAATCTGTAGACACCGGTCTGTGAAGCTCTGTACTGTTGCATCTGGTAATGGATGTTGTAGACCTGAGAAAGTGAGAGCGGCCAATTGAGTCTCAGATCTGTGCTGGAACTTGTTATCAATGGAAGGTAAGCAAATGTTGTTTCAATGAACCTGGTTACTAATATTTGTCTGTTTAGTAGAGGCGCATTAATTTTTAAATTAGTAGTTGTAGCTTTACTACCAAGGTGTTAATTGTGTAATTAACAGTTAGTTGCTTGAGTATAGAGTCAACAAGATTTAATTTTGCAATATAATTGAATGTTAGAATTGAATTGCTGCTAGATTTACCAGATTAGGGACCTCTTTGTAATTCGAAATTTATTACTATTAAAATAATTACCAGTAAAAAGACTAATGAAGTGGCATTGGGGATAATAATTACCACTATAACTGCTAAGCTATAGTTGATTGGGTAATGATTATGATGCTTTGTTATATACGTTTGATTTTTTTAATGGTCGCTGTTACGATTCTATTCCTAAATTCAGTGTATTAGAGATTTTGTCCTGAATATATTTTCTGTGTTGTGTGGAATTTTTCTTATTTACACCATGTTTGTGGTTTATAAATGAAGCAGATAAAGAGGTGGAGTTGTTAGGGGTGATGGGCATCCTGAAATGCCATCTATAATCAGGGGCAGTGAGCATGTTGACATAGTTGATAGGAGTAGTGGAGTAAAATTGATTGGGAATGGTTTCAACAAGGTTGAGGGACTTGATGAATTTGTCTTTGAGGGTGTAGAAAACAATGAGTCAGAAATGTATAGTGAAAGTCAATATGTTTCTCTTATGAAGACAATTGAGACAATCGAAACTATTGTTGCTAGCAATAACATAACTGTTGTTACAACGGTAGAACCACCTCAAGTTGGTATGGTATTTAAAACCTGGCAAGATGTCGAATCCTATTATAAGGACTATGCTGAGCAGATTGGTTTTGGCGTTGCTAGGTGCAAGGAGTAAATTCAAAGGACAAGAAGAAGAGAATAGCCACGACTTGGAGGTGTGAGTGTTAGGGTAGACCTGATATAAGGGCAAGGAGAGAAGCTAAGAAAAGGGCTATGGCCATGGATGTTTCAGGTACAGGTGGAGTTGTAGATGGTGTAGTAGGCGAGGATGAGTTGGGGCGTGGCAAGAGACGTCCAAAAAATGTGAGTGCCCTGCCATGGTATATGCTAGTGTTAATGAAGAAGGAGAGTGAGTAGTGAGGGGGGGGGGGTGAAATTGAAACATGAGAGGCACAAGCCGTCCCCTAGTAACTCGAAGCTCGTTAAGGAGTATCGTATGAAGCATATGACCTCCACCGTTCGAAAGAAGTTGTTGAATTACTTTGACAAGGGTGTACCTGTTACACAAATACATAGTTGCTTGGGAACGGAGAGGGAAATGTCGTTGACTGTCAAGGATTTACAGCATGAGGTTTATAAGGCTAGAAGGTTAAAGATGGTCGGGGGTGATGCTGTGGCTATGATGGAATATTTTTGATAAGATGCAAGCAGGGAATGACAATTTTTTTCATGCTCCACGGCTTGATGTAGAAGGGCGGCTGAAGGATGTATTAGTCGTGCGGCGTACGATGACTTTGGTGATGTTGTTTGTTTTGATGCAACTTATTTAACCAATGATTACGAGCTCCCATTTGTTAATTTTGTTGGAGTTAACCACCACGGGCAAACAATTTTGCTTGGGTGTGCGTTGGAATCTCGTGAAGATTCAGATACGTTTTCTTAGATTTTCAAGTAGTGGTTGGCTAGCATGAATAATAGGGCTCCTGTAGCCATATTGACTGACCAAGCGGCTGCCATGAGGAAACTGCTAGCTGAGGTGATGCCTGGTACTAGGCATCGGTGGTGTATATGGCATATAACCAGGAAGTTTCCCGAATAACTTGGCAAGTGCTCAATGTAAGTTTGTTATGTTTTTGTACACTCTCACATATGATTGCAGCTGTCCCTTTACTTTTTTGCTTCTTTTTTTGGATGTTGTGTTTATAAGACCTGTTGATTCTGATCAAGTTTTGACTAAGTGTTGACTGTGTAGGATTTTTGGCTAAGGGAAGTTGTCCCTTGTTGATTTACTTGGTGTAACGAATCTTTTCCCACTGTATCCAAAATTCAAATTTAATCTACACTCTTTAAAAAGTGAGAAGATCAGCAGAACTGTTCCTTATGAACAGTAGGGCAGTGTGCGAACGGTTTTGTCCTTGTCTTGGGATGTTATTTGCGGTCTTGCCATTGGATCTTGAATTCCTTTGCTTTCTACCTCAGCGGTCAGTCCTACTTTTCCTGAATTCACTTGCCATCACTCATTCATTTCCGTTTTCTCTCTCATCCTACTCTCTTTCTCTTTCCTCCTCTGCTATTGTCCAGCCATTTTTCCACTTTTGCTTTTAAGATTTTTCGCTCTTCCATTGAAGGTCAATCTGAGTTTTCCATTGAAGCGTGTTCTGAGCTTCCTTTCTTCCATTATTGCTGAGGTAATTACTCGTACTGAATAAGTGTGAATTTTTACTAATGGAAATTCTGATTTAATAAATGGAAATTCTGATTTCACAATTCATAAACTCTATCAAATTTTTGTTATCTTTTTACTTTTGGTTGAGTTAATCTGATTTCTGATTATTTAGTTGATTTTTTATCTTACTTTTGGTTGAGTTATTCTGATCATTTATTAATTACGAGTTTGTTGAGTTCTCCTTCGGTCATTTACTTTTGGGGTTTTATTTAGTAAAGAATTTTATAATAATTAAGAAATTGTGTTGATTGTTCTATAGTCGTATCTTGTGCTGCAGTTCAGAAACTATGTTTGGATTCGGTTCTGATGATTGTAGTTTATGTTGCTTGCAGTTCAGCGTAGTGTTTCTGGTGAAGGTGTTGGTGAGTTCGATGTATCTGCATTCAAGGTATTTAGTTCATTCAGTATTTTTTTTGGTGAATAGTTCATTCAGTATTGATAGTGGTTATCATTGATTGATGGATTTTAAATTTAGTTTTGTATTGATTAACTTTTGGTGATTGGTAGCGGTTATGTTCGATTTTAGTGGTGATGGGTTGCAAATAGCAGGTGATTGGTATTTAGATGCAATCTATATAGATTTTGGTTATTTGAGGTAGCTTTTCTGTTTATTAATTTACTAATTAAGCTTTTTCATTTTGGTCGAATTCCAATGTATGGTTCCATTGTAGACTGTAGCTGCACACTTCAATTAACAAAGCAAGACCCTTATTGCTTTGTTGAACGTAATTTGCAATATCTGGTTGCATAGTTTGTGTTATTGCTGGAGTAACTGAGGTTTTAAAGAACAATTTCAGTAGGATTGGTTAAATTTTCTTATGTTTGGTCATAGTTGTATATGGCGATAATTTACTGGGTCTATAGTTCGTTTTTAGAATGCAAATTTAATATTTCTTTGAGAATATTTTTTGTTTTGGTTTTTAAGTCATATACTTAACTTTCTATCAATGTGATTTTGTAGGAATCTTATTAAAAAATCAAGCAGAACGTAGAATGAAACTGCAATTTTGCCGCCAGACAATTACAAATGGCATGAGATAAAGAATCTCAGACTCTTCCAGGTTAGCACTAAATCTTTACAGTCCATTCTTAAACTCTTCAACTGGTTTTTGAACCCTTTTACATTTGAATATACCTTTGCTTAACCGTCCCCTTTGAATCTGCAATTGGTCTTCTCCACACTAAGGGGCATCCTCCTCCTCGGTTCTTTTTATTTAACTGCTGGTTTTTGTTGCTTGTATTATAACAGGATATATATATAATCATTTAGATTAACTTTAATGATTAAATAAAAAAAAATCCATGTACTAAGGAAATGTACGATATCCCAAATGTCATGTGTGTTAGGGTGGTTAATAATATGTAACCTTGTAATGTTGTTGCATTTCTTATCAATAAGTGCTAAAGTGTGGACATATGTTTCTCAAATAACCTTTAAAAGAGAGAATAATGAGAAAAAACTCAACAACGCTATTTTGAAGGTCTAGGGGCTCTTTAACATCAGTTGCCTTAATTCCTGGATTGATTTATTATCATTACTTAATAACACTTAAACACATAGGAAAGTCCATTTTCAGAACTTACTTTTCTCATAACCAACTCTAGGTCAAATAGCCTCTGTAAAATTAATGGCAGTTATTTAGAATAAGGTGTTCTGATTAATGCTTGGATTGTGAGTATTGTTAGGCCCTTTTCTCGAGGCTCATGTAAGACGAGTCATAGTTATTAAACTTACTGCTTACATGTCTCTTAGGAGGACTGTACTGTATTTGCAGTTTCAGTAAGATTAAGACATTACCAAATACATTTTTGTTTAGTTTCCGAAAAAGTTTTGGTTTAAGAGCACTGCAGGAAGAAGTTAATCAAACTGATAACTATTGCAGATTGCTTATGAATATGCAAAAGAAAATGGGTTGCATTTCTGTGAAACTTTTGCTAAAACAGCACAGAAAGTCAATGAGCTCTTTTGTGAAATAGGTCACTTCTTCCTTTCCTATCCTTTTGAATCATTATTAAAATAACACAAAACTAGAATATATTCAATAGAAAATAAAAAGAGAACACACAAAGAATGACTGTCGTAGAGCTTATGAACAGTGAACGACCATTATGTAAGGTTAATCGAGGGGTAATTTCATCCCCCCCGCCCTTCTTTTATATATATATATATATATATTGCTAATTTTTGTTTTATATTTTTAGTTTGTTACTTTGAATAATTTGGGTGATGAATTTTGTTACTGAGTTTGCAATCACTGATTTGAATGTTGCATAGGTTTTGATTCCTATTCTGAAACCAACTAGATACACTGGTGCTGATCCTTATAAAATGTAAGGTTAGTCTCACCTTCAATGCTTTTTTTACTAGCTATTTATGTTTCTCGAGTTTTTTGGTTTGCTATTTCAGTTATTGAGCATTTGCTTTAGAAAGTGGGATTTTGGTGAGTTTGATTGGTGTTGTTTACGTGCAATTAAGCCCTTTTCTTTAAAGTAGCTGTAGAATTGGATTCTGAGCGAAATCGGGTAAATGAATGACTAATAAGGTTTTGGATGAGGCCAAATAAGTGAAGTGTATTCTAATTTAGCGCCAAGAAATTTAATAATCAGCTTCAGAGATTTAGTAAACGGCTTGGTTTGTAGGAAGGAAGCAGCAAGATGGCGAATACTTGATTGTGCAGGAAACCTGTACACACTTTTAAAAGTCAGAAGTTGGGATGGGTATCAAGCTCATAGATGAACTTCTGTGGTTCAGATGTTCCAAAATTGTTATTTGGTAATTTAGGGTTTCCAACTTAATTCGAAAAAAGGTCAGTATCAAGCTCATTGATGAACTAATAAGGCGACCATGTGGTGATTGCTTTGAACTTCCAGTAATAAAGGGTAAAAGAACGAGAGAGGATCTTAATCTTATAATGGAAAATGAGAATTAAAAATAAGAATGATGTCAATGTTATTAGATTGGACAAAAGCTTAAGGGGCATTGTTGCAAACCTTCCTAGCATAGTCAATCTCAATCTGATTCTTGGACCTTTATTTTTTTGGATTAATATTCTTGGATGATATGACTGTTTTAAGGTTTGCACTTCAACTCTTCAAGGTTAGGATGCTATTTCTATCTTGTTTTCATCGTTGGTTAACTCTGTTCTTTTTTGCCTACTATTTTATGTAGATGATATGGGATGAAATGGAACTCTATTATTTTTTGCCAACTATTTTATTTAGATGATATGGGATGAAACGAAACTCTGTTCTTTTTTGCCTACTATTTTATCTATTTTATTTAGATGGTATAGTATAGGATGAAATGGGCAAGCATGAAACAAATAGGGATAACTGAATAAGATGATAGTTGAGCTTGAACAAGAATGCATAGAAGTATACACGAGAAGAGTTGATGTGGCTAACCACTCTACAGCTCAGCTACAACTGGCTATATATTGATGATTTCGAGGCAGAACTTGCATCCATTTATTCTGCAATTGGAGAACTACCATTAAATAATAATTAATTTGTGAACTTGGTAGGGTTAGTAAACTTCACTCTTTTTAGAATGCTTGATCAGGTTTCTAATTTTATGATGCTTTGTGTGATTACTTCGACTTGTGATGTGTCTAAGATACATTTGTTTTCAAAACGGTTTGCATGCTAGTTTTGTCCATATAATTCTAAAGCAAATGTCACTTATAATTATCATAAACTTATTAATTAAACCTACTTGTTTATGTGGAATGAAAATCTGAAATATTGATTTAATTTACTCTGTCACAAAGTGTTGGCGTTAATCTGAATTTTGATCAAACCCTATGTGCTATATAACTTAATTTTGACAATCAGGTACACAGAATTCAAACCCAAATTGAAGGAGGTCATATGTGAGAGTTTTATGACTGATGAGTTTGAAACGCGTTGGTGTGCGCTAATGTCTCAGTACAAGCTTGAGAAAAATGAATGGCTTACTAGGCTGTTTAAAGAGAGACATATGTGGGTGCCGGCCTATATGAAGGAGTATTTTTGGTCCAGTATGAAGACTACGCAAAGGGTTGAGAGCATTAATAGCTTTTTTTGACGGGTTTCTTACTCGACATACAAAGCTGTTTGAATTCCCTCACAAGTATCGTAGGGCCATGGATAAGCGGATACGTGATGAAACCAATGCAGATGCTTACTGTTCAAAGTACTTGAGGAGGTTAGTGAGTGGTTTCAAGACGGAGAAGGTCTTTCAAAAGCTACGGACACAAAATTTCAAGAAGTCCAGACAGAATGTTCTTCGAGGATGATGTATGTGTATGATAGAGGTGAGCGAGTAATTTCTGACAATATAATTGAGTACACTCTTGAGGACCGAGTGTGGCTTGTTCCACCTGGTAAGAGTGAGGAGGTAATTACTGATCGGCATAGGTATTATTGTGTTACCTTCAACACCGAAACAACGGAAGTATGTTGTAATTGCAGGAAAATTGAAACACATGGTATTATGTGTAAACACACCATCAGTATATTAGATCGGAATTTTGTGCTTGATGTGCCTGAGAGATATATTGTAAGCCGGTGGCAAAAGGACATAATGCGCAAACATACAAGGGTGAAGGTAACTGCTGATGATCCATCCGAAGTTGTTCATGTGAAACGGTTCAATATGCTATTGAAAGTTGCTGAGCCATTGTGTGAAGAGGCGGCCATGGTGAATGATGAGACGGTACAAATGGTCATAGACTCAATTAATCAGTTGCGGTTGGATGTTGATAAGTGTAGGAAGACGAAGCTTGAGCAAACCATAGCTCTAAATTTCCCGAATGATTTTCAGGGATCTGCGAGTGCAGGGTTCAGTGGTACAACCTTGGCTGTTCAGAAACCAACTCATGTAGAAAATGTAAAGGAAATTGGTGCTACTGTTAAGGACCCGGTTCCACCGAAGAAGCCTCGAGGTAGGCCAAAAGGTTCAAGAAACAAAGGTTTAGCTGATATAGGTTACAAAAAACCAAAACAGCAGAAGGCTAAAATATGGCAGCAATCTTTATGTTTCTTACACTTATTGCGATATCTGTAATTTAGCTAGTGGTTGTTTGTCATTTAGTTGTTTTGCTGATAATGTAGGAACCAAATGATGCTGAAAACGAAGGAATGATGGTGCAGACTCACCTGTAGCCCCTGATGTGGCTGCTCCCGATATACTTCCAGTAAATATCCTGTTATGATTTTTCATTATACATGCCTTTCAATATTAACTTTGTAATACAAGTAGCTGCTGCATTTACTTTTTTGGAATCAAACTAATCAGGTTAAACGGAAGCAGGCACAATTGGTGGATTGCGACACTATTGGTCTGGGTGACAAAGTGACTTTTGATAATGAGTTACTAATGAGGAAAAGCATGGAATGGTGCACGGGTCCATCTGAATTCTGAAATGCTTTAGATGTGCTCTAGAAATGACTTAGGTGTTCTTGACCAGGTTAGGTGTACGTTTTAGGACATGCGTTTTTGGTGGATGTAGCTTAACCAAGTATTAGGCTATGTTTAAGCTTATATTCGGATCTCTACATAGTAACTCAATATTTGTGGTTAATTTGCCCTTAGTTATTTTAACTAAAAGCTTGTAATTTTTATGGATCACCATTAGTACTGGATTACAGATTTAAGTTTAAGCTTTAAGTTAATTTATATTACTAAATTATTTCAGTCAGATGATAAATTACCATATTACTTTGTGCAACTTTTATGTACTGTATTACAGGCTTACCATATTCAAAGAAAAAATGGCAAAAAATCAAAACACAATCAAAGTAATGAAAATCGACCAAAAGTGTCGGCTGATTAATTAATTAAAACAGTCGGCCAAAAGGCCGACTGACGAATTGAGAATCGTCAATAAACCCCGACCCCTTGGCCGGGTAAAGAAAAAAACGGCACGCAGGCCGTATAAATAGAAAAAATAAAGCATAGCTTAATTAAGCAGAAGGAGGGCGGTCAAGTTTAGCAAGCGTCTGAGGCAAGTCCTCACACTAGTAGAAAAAAAGAATTAGGCAACCCCCCTATGGCAATGGTTCATGAAAACCGTTGCCAAACTTGCTGTGAGCGCCATTTTTAAAAAAAAATAAATTTGGTTGAAATTTGGCAACGGTTAACCGTTGCCAATTTCTTTAAAAAAAAAACAAAAAGGGGTAGATTGGCAACGGTTAACCGTTGCCAACAACTTGCTATTTGGCAACGGTTAACCGTTGCCAATTGATAATATTTAAAAAAAAAAAAAAATTTAAAAGGGGTAGATTGGCAACGGGTAACCGTTGCCAATTAAAAAAAAAATTGCGGGTTTTTGAATACAAACAGCATACACGCACTGTGCTAATTAACGTTCTTCAATTCTTTCACCTCCAAAAACGCGCGCCTTCATTCTCCCCAAACCATTCCTCCATTGAATTGAAGCTTCCATTGAAGGGGTTTGTTCTTCTGCCTCCCTCAAGCACGCACTCCCCTGTTCTTCATCCTCACGTTTTTGCTTTTGCATTGCCTCCCTACACGCACGCACGCACTCAGCTCTTCTCTTCTGCCTCCCTCCATATATGCTTGCATTATTGAAGTATATGTTGCAGCTCCTCCATTGTTATAGCGCTCCTTATTGGTAGGTAAGTCGTAATAGCTCTTCTCCATTGTTATGGTTTTTGAAGAATTGGTCTTTAAATTAGTTAATATTGACAAGTTTCATGTAATTGCTAGCTTAGGGTTTGTCAAGAATTGGTCTTTTGTGTTAGCATGAATTGGGTCTGTGATGTTGGAACCCTGATGTTGGAACTTGAATAGAGTTATCTGTCAAACTGGCTTCGAATGAATTGAATGAAATTTTGATAATGCACCAACTGCCCTCAACCTTGTTGCTGCTTTCATTGCTGAATTTCAGCCAAAGACATGGATAGAAAATAGTTGTTATTGTATTTAGTACAAGCTACATTTACCTATATTTCTAAATTGCTATGAGAACTTTATTTATCATCACTAATAAAGTTGAGAATTTTATTTTGTTTATAGGATAATTTAGTCCTTTGTATTTAAGAGAACAAAGTTGAGAGTTTAGGGTTTAGGGTTTAGGGTTTAGGGTTGAGAGTTTAGGGTTTAGGGTTTAGGGTTGAGAGTTTAGGGTTTAGGGTTTAGGGTTTAGGGTTTAGGGTTTGAAAACGAACTTTTCTTTATGAGTTGCTTCTCACTATATACATGCGTGTTTCAGGCTAAGAAATGGGTGTCAAGGGCTTCTAGGGTAAGATTATCAGTTTGGAGAGTGGGCGGAAAACATCCTGGTATGGTATATCTTACTCTGACTGTCCTTGTTCTTGCATTGCTCACTAATATCATTCTTATCTTTTCCCTTAATCTGGTTTTCTATTTGTGTTCTATATAGGTTACACTGAAAAAGATTATCAGGAATTTTTGGGCGAAGCATAGACCTTGGCATTGACCTTCTATTTGAGAGTGTTGAGCCTTTATAGGTACTCAGGTATATATATATAACTTTATGTGCACAATTTTGTGGAGATGGTGTGTGATATAACTTTGGTGCATCTTCTATCATGATGTGTGATTAAGCCATTGGTTTTTAATTGATTGCATGTCGTATCATCATATGCCTAGATACCCGTTCTAGGCTTTCTCATTAGGAGAAAGTCTTGAATAGTCCCCGGTTGGGACTGTTCTTGAACGTTTACTCTTACTTAGGTGGTGAATGTATGTCAGTTTTTTCGAAGCATTTCCTGGATCACCATGTTCTCTGGGTACATATGTGGGTAAGTAATTACCTACGTCGTGTACTTGGAGAACTGGGGGGAAATGCTGCCGGATTTTCCTTAAAATTGGAAATCTGATATACATTCACTAGTGAGAGTAAACGTTCAAGGATGGGTTAGGTTGGAGTGATAAGGACCCTTTGGAAGCATATATGCATTTTTGTATCTATATGAATGTTATATGCATGTTGTGTGTTTGAATTTGATTTGTATATATAATAGATGTAGCAATTATACATTATTCGTAATATGTTGCCATGTTTAGAGACAATTTACTTAATGGAGAGGGATCGTGGATGGATGTATGGTAGACGTGATACATTGGAATTCTTTAATGGGGTTCAAGAGTTCTGCGAGACGGCTTCATCTTATCAGCGCAGAATGGGTTTCGAGTGCCTCTATTGTCCTTGTGTTGATTGTAATAATGTGAAGGTGGTCAATAGTGTTGATATCATTAGAGTTCATGTAGTTTGTCGTGGGTTTAGGGTTAAATATCATGTGTGGATTTGGCATGGTGAAGAAGGAGAGTACAGTGGGGATGTTATTGGGTATGATGTGCATGATGATAGAAGCAATAATATCCGTGTGGACGAGGAATACAAGAATGATGAACATATTGATGATGATGGTGCTGAGGAGGGATTTGAGGATGATCATGAGGATGAGGTTGAGGATGAAGGTGTGGATGAGATGATGCGTGGTTTTGAAGGTGACGTGTTTGAGTCATTATCGGAGGCTTCTAAAAAGCCTTTGTATCCTGGGTGTAAAAAATACTCCAAACTATCAGCCGTGCTAACTCTTTTTAACATTAAGTCGAAGCATAGGTGGACGGACAGTAGTTTTACTTCCTTGTTGAGCGTGTTAAGTGAGATGTTTCCAGATGGGAATGAAATTCCTAAGTCTTACTATTACGCTAAGAAGCTCATGTGTCCATTTAGTTTGGAGTATAAGAAGATACATGCATGTCCTAATGATTGTATTCTTTACCGAAATGAATATGAAAAATTGGAGGAGTGTCCAAGATGCAAGAAGTCGCGCTACAAGCGCAAGAGTTGCAATGCTGGTACGAAGGGACCTCCTGCTAAGGTGTTGTGGTATCTTCCCATAATTCCTAGGTTTAAGTGTCTGTTCTCTTTACCAAAAGACGCTAAAAACTTGAGGTGGCATGCAGAGGGAAGAAAGAAAAACAGAATGCTGAAGCACCCAGCCGACTCCCCGCAATGGAAGAACCTTGATATGAAGTTTGGGGAATTTGGTGATGAAGTCAGAAATTTAAGGCTTGGTTTGTGCACGGACGGGATGAATCCATTTGGCACTCTTAGTACCCAGCACAGCACATGGCCGGTACTTTTAGTGATCTACAATTTGCCTCCTTGGTTGTGAATGAAACGGAAATATGTACTGCTTTCACTCTTGATATCGGGGCCAAGGCAACCTGGAAACGACATTGATGTGTATCTTGCGCCATTGGTTGATGATTTGAGAAAGATGTGGGACGAAGGGGTTTCCGTGTTTGATGCTCATAAGAATGAGATGTTCACATTGCGTGCAGCTCTTATGTGGACCCTTAATGATTTTCCTGCATATGGCAACTTGTCTGGGTATAAGAATAAAGGGAAAAAGGCATGTCCCATTTGTATTGATGATACGCCAAGCAGACGCCTTGATCATTCTTTCAAGGAGGTGTATTTGAGGACAAGAAGGTTGCTCAGGCGCGATCACCTGTACCGTCGGCAGAAAAAGGCTTTCGATGGGACGGTGGAGGAGGGGACTGCTCCTAGGCCACTGACTGGTGAGGAGGTTTACGCTCGGGTCAAGGGTGTACGAACAGTATTTGGGAAATCTGAAAAAGCGGCGGAATCAGTTGCTCTCTTTAAAAAAGAATCAATCTTTTGGTTGCTCCCGTACTGGAAAGAACATGACGTTAGGCACTGTCTTGATGTAATGCATATAGAGAAGAATGTGTGCGACGCTCTTGTGGGAACGCTGATGAATATTCAATACAAGACAAAGGACGGAAAGGGTGCACGTTTAGATTTGGAAAAGATGGGGGTGCGTCCAGAATTATGGGTTCAGCATAGGTTTAGTAAGGGAAAGGAACAGGAAAAGGAAAAAGAAATAGGTTCGAAACAGGGAAAGGAGAAGAGCAAGGGAAAGGGAAAGGCCGCGAATGCGTCGAAGAAGAAAAATGAGGGAAAAGCCAAAGAGGGGAAGGCCTATTTACCTCCGGCTTGCTACACATTGTCAAGGGTAGAAAAACGGAGGTTTTGTGAATGTCTGTATGGCATTAAGGTTCCATCAGGGTACGCATCTAACATGAAAAGATTTGTATCCTTAAATGGAGAATTGAAGCTGACAAGTATGAAATCCCATGATTGTCATGTTCTGATGCAAGTTTTTCTACCAATTGCAATACGTGGTATTTTGCCAAAGCACGTGAGGGAAGCTATTACAAGCCTCTGTTCGTTTTTCAATACAATATGTAGCAAAGTGCTTGATCCTTGTACCCTTGATGCTTTACAGGCGGATGTGGTTGTGACTTTGTGCAAATTTGAGATGTACTTCCCGCCCTCGTTTTTCGACATAATGGTGCATTTGATTCTTCATTTGGTGCGTGAGATTAAGTTGTGCGGTCCAGTGTTCTTGAGGTGGTGCTATCCTTTTGAAAGACACATGGGTACATTGCAAGATAAAGTTAGGAATCGGGCTCACCCGGAAGGAAGTATGATTCAAGGGACCGTGGCCGAGGAGATTGGTAATTTTGTGGCCGACTATATAGCCGTTGCTGAACCTATTGGTATTCCTACTTCTCGACATGAAGGTAGACTTGATGGTCATGGCACAATCGGGTCGAAACGAATGTCACCTGATCGAGAGAAGTTCTTACAAGCACACCTATATGTTTGCTGTGTTGTGTTGTCAGTATGCTTTGTTGATGTCATGTGTTGTTCTTGTTTTCTCTTCCTTCTTCTCCTCCTCATTCTCCTCTTCCTTCTCCTCCTCCTTCTCTTTCTCTTTCTCCTTCTCCTTCTCCTCCTCCTCCTCCTTCTCTTTCTTCTCCTTCTCCTTCTCCTTCTCCTTCTCCTTTTCCTCCTCTTCCTTCTCCTCCTCCTTCTCTTTCTCTTTCTCATTCTCCTTCTCCTCTTCCTCCTCCTTCTCTTTCTTCTCCTTCTCCTTCTCCTTCTCCTTCTCCTCCTCCTCTTTCTCCTTCTCCTTCTCCTTCTCCTTCTCCTTCTCCTTCTCCTTCTCCTTCTCCTCCTCTTCCTTCTCTTTCTTCTCCTTATCCTTCTCTTTATCCTTCTCTTTCTTCTCCTTCTCCTTCTCCTCCTCCTCCTTCTCCTCCTCCTTCTCCTTCTCCTTCTCCTTCTCCTTCTCCTCCTCCTCCTTCTCTTTCTTCTCCTTATCCTTCTCTTTCTCCTTCTCCTTCTCCTCCTCCTCCTTCTCTTTCTTCTCCTTCTCCTTCTCTTTCTCCTTCTCCTTCTCCTCCTCCTCCTTCTCCTTCTCCTTCTCCTCCTCCTCCTTCTCTTTCTTCTCCTTCTCCTTCTCTTTTTCCTTCTCCTCCTCCTTCTCCTTCTCCTTCTCTTTGTCATGGGGAAGCGGAGAAGGTAGGAGAGGCTGCCGGAGGGGCTGCCGGAAAAGCTGCAGCAGCTGTGCAGCCTGCCAACAGCTGTGCAGCCTGCAGCTGCTGCCCTTCGCGTCCGGTTTTTTTTTTTTTTTTTTTTTTGGACTCGACTTGGTTTTTTTTTTCTTTTTTCCTATCTTACACCTAAGATACTTAGTGATGAACACGTATGGCTTGAAACAACCTTACCTGAGCAATTTCACAAGTTTGAGGTTCATTTACAGTATTTACGGCTCGAAACGGCCCAAATCAGTTATGACTTGCCCGTTTCTCATGATTTTAGGTCAATGCTTGATTTAACTCCTATATTACACCTAAGATACTTAGTTATGAACATTTATGCCTTGAAACGACCTAAAAAAAGCAATTTCACAAGTTTGAGGTTCATTTACAGTATTTACGGCTCGAAATGGCCCAAATCAGTTATGACTTGCCCGTTTCTCATGATTTTAGGTCAATGCTTGATTTAACTCCTATATTACACCTAAGATACTTAGTTATGAACATTTATGCCTTGAAACGACCTAAAAAAAGCAATTTCACAAGTTTGAGGTTCATTTACAGTATTTACGGCTCGAAATGGCCCAAATCAGTTATGACTTGCCCGTTTCTCATGATTTTAGGTCAATGCTTGATTTAACTCCTATCTTACACCTAAGATATTTAGTTATATATGTATATGTAAATGAAGTATCTTCGTAATTGGTGCAGGAAGAGACCCGTTGTGAACTTCTTCACCCGGGCGAATCATATGATGGACCTTTGCATGTTGTTGCCTATGGTAGTGCACAACCGGCCGAACAAGGTACGGTCCATTTGCGACCTCTTCTGCCTGAGCATTATTCTGTCGGGATCCATTCTGTGGTTCCCGGGTCCGAGGACCTCTTAATACCTGTGCCCGTGGAGGGTGATGAGTTCACTACACTCTGGGCAGCAAAAGGTAGTTTTGTGCAATGGCCATCTGCTTGGATACGGTTGATGAACCAGGTAATTTAGATTTAGATTTTATGCTTTAATCCTTTCTTCACAAGAGTTGGATGGAAATCTTTTCTAACCATTTGTGTGATCATACTTATTAGCCATCGAGGAAAAGCCAAACGCCAAAGAAGAGGGTGGAGGGGCCAAAGAACAGAAGTGAACATGGCTCGGTGAGTGGAAAGGCGTCAATGAAGAGCCCTTCACTAGGTTCAGCTACGCAAGCTACTCCATTAGTTGAAGACACGGTGCTTCAATCGCTATCCCAGGAGTTAGCTTATTTGCACAACCGTGTTTGCGTGTTGCCTAATGACAGCCCCATCCAAATTCCACTTCTTAAGGAAATGTTCCACTACAATGATGATGCAACGGCATGGCTATTCAAAGAAGATGTGAAGGAATTTCTAAGTGGTGAAATGCTTAACATTTCCTTCATTCAAATATCCATGAGGTAATTCAACTGGTACTCAATTTATGTTATTCAGTTTAGTGGTGTTTGTCGTTTGGTTTTCGATTAACATTGTGTTATCATGCATGCAGAGCACTCCAGGAGCAAATATGGGAGCGTGAATCTCCTTGTCAAGTTGGGTGGTTGTGCCCTGAGCAGATGTCCACTGCTAGAATCTTAGGCAACTCCGCTGACGTGTTGTACTATGCTGAACGGGGTATCAGGCAATCAGTGAGTGCAGGAGACAAGTTTATATTCGTCCCATACTATGAGGAGTACGTCTGATTATGCTAGTCAAGTTCATTTGTTTTCCCAGTTTATTTGTTGTAACAGGCTAACTATTGATTTGTTTGTCTCGTGTGTAGTTCTCATTGGACCCTACTTGTGATTTGTGTTTCCAGTAACACAATCTTCTACTTTGATTCCGCTCGGTTACCTCAAGTAAGAAAGCGCCTCGTGAGGTACATACTGCAAAAGTAAGCATCTAGTTTGTTTCACTTCTTGTTATTCATTTTCATATCTGAACTCATATGTATTGATTATAAACGTCAAATTTGAACTTATTACTTTGTTTTTTTGTAGTACCATGAAGAAGATAAATCCTCGATCTCCTCGAGGTCCTACATGGAAAGCACCCAAGGTAATTCACCCATGATGTTGTGATTTTCTTACTTTACAATGCTTAAGATGTCGCTTATTTGCTATGCATTTTGATTCATGTGCTTTGTTCCTATTGCTAGTGCGCACAACAGGAAAACGGAGTTGACTGTGGCCTTTACGTGATGAGATTCATGTATGACATACTGATGACTCATTGTACAGACACACGTCAGCTTGAAGAGGTATGCCATTTTGGTTGAAATTGCGTCCCATAACCTCATACTTGCTCTTTTCTTGTAATCTCAAGCATTAGTCACCTATAACTAAGTGATAATGACATGTTTTAACTAGTTATGAGTTCAATAGACAAGAATTGTAGAAAATAGGCATCCTAGTAGCCAAAATGGCCTTACTTGAGCCATTTTGGTTAAAATTGCGTCCCATAACCTCATACTTGCTCTTTTCTTGTAATCTCAAGCATTAGTCACCTATAACTAACCCCAATTATTATTATTTCACTTCTACTAACTCATGTTTTGTGTATTCTAAGTTTTGCAAGGGGCAAACGGGACTTCCATACACAAGCGAGGAACTTCATGTAATTAGGGAGATGTTGGCGACCTACATCACATTTAATTTGTAAATATCGTCAAACATTTTTGTACTATATCATCTCTTCATCAATCCTAGGCTTAGCTTTCTAATTATTATGTAGTATACATGAAACATTTTTCTAATTTATATATGTTTTGTTATTAATGTTCCTAATTATTGTTACTAATTATTATTATTATTATTATTATTATTATTATTATTACTATTATAATATTAATAATTATTATTATTATTATTAATATAATAATAAAAATTATCATTATTAATAATAATAATAATATTACTGCAGCCAAAAAAAAAAAAAAAAAAAAAAAAAAAAAAACAGGTGAATATTAGTGCAGCCCAAAAAAAAAAATACAAAATACAGGTGAATATTAGTGCAGCCAAAAAAAAAAACAATACAGGTCATTGGCAACGGTTAACCGTTGCCAATGTGTTTAAAAAAAAAAAAAAAAAACGCGCCATTGGCTTTGGCAACGGTTAACCGTTGCCAAATACAGGTCATTGGCAACGGTTAACCGTTGCCAATGTTTTAAAAATAAAAAATAAAAAGGCGCGCCATTGGCTTTGGCAACGGTTAACCGTTGCCAAATACAGGTCATTGGCAACGGTTAACCGTTGCCAATTTCATTAGTTGGCAACGGTTCAGAACCGTTGCCAAATATTTTGGGATTTGGCAACCCTCAAATACGCAACGACCCAAAACCGTTGCCTTAGGGGGGGTTTGAACCGTTGCCATTTTGCTCTTTTCGTGTAGTGTCAACTGGCGCCTGGTCCTTCTCAGCAGTCGCCTCCTCCTACGCAGGACCTTCCTGGGGCGGCTCCTCCTGGGCTGGCTCCCCCTACCTCGGCTCCCCTGCCGCCTCGCCTTCCTGCTCAGACTCAGAAGAAGAGTCAGATGAGTCCTCCTCCTCTTCGGCCGCCTCCTCATCGTCTATCTGACCAAGAATTTCAGCATTGTAGACGTCAGAACAGGTGGCGAACTGCTTATCCCATTTTTCAAAGTTGGAATTAGGGAGTAGAGCAGCCCAGGAACTCTTCATGATGGCCATATAGTCATCATTCATGTCCTGGACGAGGACCTCCTTGTCCTTTTGCTCCGCCTCCGACAGTTGAGCTTGAATTTGAGCAGTAAGATCCGCCTCTTGAGTCTGTAGGCGGCTCTTCAGCTTGGTAAGGCGCCTACGCAGGCTCTCCTCCTCCTTCTCCGCCTGCCTGAGAGGCTCCATCTCCTCTCTAAGGGCCGCCAAGGAATGCTCCAGCTCTTGAATCTTGGCCCTGGCCGCCTCAAGGTCCTTCTTGACCTACAAATTGGCTGACGCCTGAGAATAAAGGATGTCAATCGTCAAGATTTCATTTTGGGCTATCTGGAACATAGCCTTGTCAAAATCAGAGGCGGTCATGGCCTTGGCAGAATTTACCTCTCGGTTCTTCTCATTAATGGGCCGACAGAGCCCTTGCACGCGGAGCATAGTCTGCGGGCGTCAGTTAAACCAGGCGTCAAATAAACAGGCGGCTTAAACCAATAAAGCATTAAAAACTGCTAAGTTACCTCAGCCAGGAGAGCCAGGATGGCCTCCAAATTCAGGGTGCCGACTCCTGGCACATGGTCCTTCTCCTCAGTAGGAATGGAGCGCAGCATAGTCCTGGCCATCTGGACCAGGTCAATCTCAGCAGGGGCGCCTGCAAAAAAATAGATTGGTTAAATTCAGTCAAAACACGAAAAACAAGTCGCCTGGTTCTCATAAAACAGGCGGCCCTTCAATCAAATTCACAAAAAGAAAGGCCACTACCTTTGGTATCCCTTGGAGGCCGGCTGGTCGCCGGGGTAACAGGCGTCCTAACCCCTCTAGGGGGGGTTCCTGTTCTGCTTCTCAGCAGAAGGCCGCCTGGCATTCCCAGGTGTGGAGACGTCCCTAGCCGTCTGCTTTCGGACTTTGGGGTCCGGCTGGGAAGCAGGAGAGGACCTGGACGTGTTGCCCTGCAAACAAAATTAAACAAATTAATAAGCAGGCGTTGGGTTTACTAGAGAGATTTCTCAGGAGAGGTTCCCAGAGAACCAATCCCATGCTGACACGTGGCATACCCAATGATTGGGTAAAATGACGGCTTTTCTAGCCCAATTCCCAAGGAAGCCCTCCATTCCTAAGTTTTCGTTACCTAGGATGGCGGCACACATTTCAAGACCCTATAAATAGAGAGATGTTCCCATCATGGGACACATTCAGAAATATACGCAAAAAACAGAGCAATCATTAATTGCAGATATTCTCTCGAAATCCGAGAAAATACTTCACTTTCCGCACTTTTTACAGACTCCATACACGTTCTAACTTGATCGTTGGAGGCGGAACTCCACCCACCCGAAGTCTCCGCTATTTTGCAGGTACAGGAGTCCAGAGACCAGTCTTGGAATTGTAACTCTCCCGCAGGACATCAAAAAACTTCGAAACACTAATAAGTTCAAATAATTTCAAATCAATACTAATAAGTTTTGATAAGTTCTAATAAGTAAAAATAAGTATTGCATTCTCAAAAAAAAATAAAAAAATAAAAAAATTCAATAAGTATATTATAAGTTCGGATCAATATTAATAAGTTAAGATAATAAGCAAAATTAAGTTAAATAGAATGGACCCATAAAGCAAGTCATAATTTATATTTTTTACTAGTACTTCGTATAATTTACATGTCATAATGTGAGTATCAACTACAATGGGAGTACTATTTTTCAGGCGCGTGCATATTTACAAGTTCTATTTACAATGGGAGAAGGAGGGATATAAGGATAATTCCAACCTGACCACAAGGGTTAAAGGCGGAGTTGTAACCACTATTTCAAACCATTCCAAAATTTTAAGATTCTTAAAGCTAAACTTTGAACCTGTAGGTAATTAAACGTATAGTGTAAGAGAATGACAAAAACCTAAAATAAAACAAGAAAAAAGGAAATGAGTGTAGAAGCAAGTATGTATTACACCATTCCTGACTAAGCTAACAATTAGGTACTCACATTTGAGGGTTTTCACCCTTTGAGTACTCACTTTTCTTCACCCTTTAGGTACTCATGCTCAAATTTAGGTTAGTAATCATACCCTTCACCATATCACAGTTAATCCTAATATAATTAACTTGTTTTTAAAAAAAATCAATTTTATGTATAAACATAAGTTTTATTTTATCCGGCATTGTTTTATATAGTGTCATTATTGTGTGGCTTGCTTTTAGAATGACCAATTATAAATATAATGTACTCTACTTCATATATGTATTCATACAATAATTTTAAAGAGCAAATTTTGTAAAATAATTATTTTAGTATATATTTATGATTTTATTTTTGGATTTAATTCTTGATCAAAGTCTTCTATGAGGATTAATAAAATAATCATGTAATATTATTTCCTTGCATTTTTTCAATTTTTGGGACGAATAAGTCTTGTGTACAACAGGTGTACATTAATTTTATTGTAAAACGATCAATTTGAGCGTAACTTTAACTATTTTTATGGTAACTTTAACCACTTAAAGGGTAACTTTTAATTTATCGTTGCTTTGAATTTTGTTTTAATGTGTAATTTCTTATAGATACGTGGTCACATATTATAAAAACTAACATGATTAATCTAATATATTATAAGTTTATTTGTAAGATAAAATTTATTAATAGAAAAATTATAACTTTTGCAGTATAAAGGATAACTTTAAGTACTTTTAACATAACTTTAATCTGTTTTACAATACATTAACGTACACCCGCCTTTTTGGAGATTATGTGTTTTAGGACAGCGTACGTCTTTTAAGTGTTGCATCTATTGTTTTTAATTTGAATCAAAATCTGCATTCAAGGTATTTAGTTCATTCAGTATTTTTTAGTTAGTAATCATGACTTACATATGTGCTGCAGTTCAGAAACTATATATCATGACTTACATATGTGGAATAAATTTAGTTAGTAATGTATGTAGAGGGGATGTTAACGCGTGACCATGACCAAAGTTGCATGCAATATGTGTTCTAAGTACTTTTTTACTACATGCAAATTACACTTGAAGTTTGCTATCTTACTTGTTTTTTCCCTTTAAAAAGAGTAGAGCACAAGCCAAATAACAAACCAAACAACGCTATCTTACTTGAAGTTGCTATCTTACTTGCTCTTCAACTTAAAACCATTCTCAGAACTAACTTCAACCCAAACAACTTTTCTATATCACAATGTCTTCTTCAAGAGCTATATCAAAGATAACCAAACTCAAATACATCAAAAACTTTGATCCAAAAGTTCCAAAAGGTGAAATAATTTTTGACATGAACGAAGAAGATGTTAAAGACATCAATGAAGAACAAGAAAATGAAAATATTGACGATGATATTATGGACAAAGCATCGAAATTGGCGATGGCGGGTGCTACGGTCGAGTACACCTTTAAAGCCGGCGCGGTGGCAAAAGCGTATGCCGAGGGAGATGTTACTTTTGAGAAGCTCAAAAGCAAGCTCGGTGTCTCGGGTTCGAATGCATCCTACCATGATGTGAACAACATGCTTGAGGAGGCAATAGGAGATGCGCAGGAGCAAGAAGAGCTGCTCAACAAGATTGATGAGGAAAAGAAAGCTAAGGGCAAAGCAAATGTGGAGGAGAGTGAAGATGAAGAGGATGAAGAGAGTGATGAGAGTGATGAGAGTGAAGATGATGAGTAATAGGGGTTGTTTTAGTATAATTGTATCCTACGCCCAACTACTAAGTATGTTTTTTTTCATAGAGAGTTACTAGCTAGTATGGTGTTGGTTGTTGATTCAAAAGTTTATTGTGTTTTATCTATTAATTTATGGTTGTTGATGTAATATGTAGTTATTAACGAAGTGAAATGAATGGTTGGGCTTTTATTATTAAATTAATCTTAAATTTTATTATTTCAATAGCAATAATAATGTTTCCTTTTAATTTATTACAAGTATATGAATTTTATCCTTTAATTACAAATAGTATTAATCTAGTCAATTTGATCCTATATTTCCTGAGGTTTTTTT